GTGTTGAGGATAAGAAATTATAATTTGGACAATGAATAATAAAAATGTATGGTAGGATAAATAAATTATAGAAGGACATCTTGATACAATTTTTTGTTAGATTATTAATATAAATGAAGATTTAATAGTATCCTCAGGAGATGATAATTAAACTAAATTTTGGAAAAAAAATGATTGGAAATGCTTTTAAACATTTAATTGTCATAAAAATAGAGTTTTAAGTTTAAGCTTGAATTAAAAAACAATAAATTAATATCTTGTTCATCTGAAAATAAGTTAATATAATTTTTTTATTTTATTAAACAAAATGAAGAGTCGATAATTTTCTTATAAATTGAAATTAATCAACGGTCAAAGAGATTATATTTTATAATTGATTAAACATTTATAATACAAAGTTAAGGTGAATAAGTTATTTCTATTTACTAACAATAACAAGTTGATAATTATTTTAAGAAGGCTGAAAAAGTACTATTACATCATGTAGTTATAAAAGTTTAAATTAAATATCTCCTTTAGTAGGAAATATATAAACTTTAATAATAAATTGAATTTTTGAAGAAGGATAAAATCCAAGATTAATAAGATATTGCTTAATTAAACTATTATCTTCGTGCTATGCCATTGATTTCAACCAATTTAATTTAGATAAATAGTAATTCTGTTATTGAAAGTAAGTCAGAGAAAGTTTTAAATTATGTAAAATAATCTGTAAAATGGTTTGGTATTATCTCAGATCCAATTTCAGTAGTTGGTTATATTTTTTCCATCAGCAATGAAGTGCTTGATTCTTTAGTGGAAGGTATAAGGAACAAAAATTTAAGGCTAGGATGATAAAGTTAAACAATAAAGCTTGCAGTTACACCAACAGAGTTAGAGATAGAAATACAATTTACAATTCGAAGCTTTTAGTTTGATTAAAAAGCTAAAATTGTAATATTGATCATGAAAAGAATGAGAAAATTCAAAAATATATCAATGATCTACCCAAATTAGAAAATAAATTTGAACGATAGTCCCAAAATCTCTATTGGTAATTGGGTATATATCATGCTATTATAATATTAAACTTCTTAGAAACAACCTCTAAAAAAATATTAAATGAGACCTCTCCCATGAAATTAAAAATTTAGAGATCTTTTAATTAATTCCATTAATATTTACAATACCCAATAGCAACAGGCTCCAAATTACAAAAAAGAAAACGAAAAAAAGCTAGAATTAACTGAAAAATCCTCTACTTGCTAACTAATTTGATTATAAATTACCTCTTACACTAAAAATATATCTTAATTTATATGTCTCGATTTTTGTCAATCTTTTCTTAAGTGAAACACAAAAATTATACTATGTATATAGTTTAACAATCTATATCCTTAATAGGGCTAATTTGAACATTTCTGATGGCAAAGAAAAATGAATTAATCTATAATAATAATTAAGGTCATCAATAATAATTACTAAAACAATGATTTGTTTTTTATTATAGCTATTAATAATTATTTTTGCATAAAATTTTGAGATCAATCAAGTCAGTAAAAGGCTCTACACTAACTAATAAATTGCCCACTTATTTAGAAAGATTAAAGAAATAGATCAAAAAAACAAATTTAGAAGGATTAAGATGAGAAGTCTTTAATGATTCAAACTTATGAATTTAATATTTTTATTGATAATTATTAAAAATTAAATATTAACTTTGTTTTTTTTCATTGTCTGTATCTGATTCTATTTCTAATTTTATTAGAAATAAATTAAATTACTTAATTAATAATGGAAAAAATAATTGTAATTGTTTTAAACTATTTAAGCTAGAATTTATTAAATTATTTTATATTTTATTCTTTAAAGCAAGCATAATCGTAAGATAGAATAAAATATCAAATTAAATAATAGGATAATACGTTTATATTATTAAAATAAAATAATAAGAATATTTAATTAATAATATGTACTTACTGTATTATTATATAAATTGAATTTTATTAATAACTATTAGATTTTGGGCTGGATTAGCAAGATTTATGATTAATGCAAGCAATAATCTGATTTTATTACAAACCAATGAGATTAATTATGGTATTATATAAAATAGTTAATGAAAAGCCTAATAGTAATATAATAAAATCAAATAAATAGATTGTGTAAATCATTCATTAATTAGATTCAAAGAAATAATTCCCATACTGAATAGATGAAGGAAAACATCTGGTAGCTTTAATACCATGTGGTTTTATACTTTGTACCTGTTTGCAAAATATAGTGATGCTTGGGAATTATTAGTATGCGTATTGTAATTATTTATCAGTTTCATTTACTATTTTCTAATCATAAGTATAGAAACAAGTGGGTTTTCAAATTATTAGGGATTATCAAGTTGTCGATTCAAATATTAAATAATCCCTACCTAAATTTCAATAGAGAGAGATAGAGAAGAATATTTATAAGAATGTTTAAGAGAAATGAAAGTATACATTTTTATTAGTTTATATATCTAGGTACATAGTAGTGTACAACTTGAATCTCTCTAAATTTCTACATAATTTAAGTCTAAAAATATGACAATGATATTAACAAGTTAATTTAGGAACAATGTAATCGAAATAATATTAAAATTTGGATTAGATAGATCTGCCTGTTATTAAGTTGGCCAAAAAGACCCTATTTTGTGCTTTGAAAAGTATTATGCTGTAATAGTAAGTGTTAATTTGTAATAAAGTTTAAAATCAAGTAGTTATGATCTTATTGGCTATTAATGGAATTTTGAGAAAAGAGTTAAAAGAATAAACTCAAAATTAGATTAAATGTTAATAAAATTATGGAATTTTTTTATTTATTAAGTAGCAATAATATTTGGTATGATTTTGCTCTATCAGAATTTAAATAAATGTAGGATTTATTGTAACAACTCTGAGCATTTATAAAATAACTATTACATAACTAATAATATTAGTAGGGCCCTTGCTTTTAATAAAGATTGCCCAATTGTAGCAGCTATATGTAACAAATTAATAAAAATATTTGAATTTAGACAAGGACTGTTGAAAGAAACTCTAGTCTTAAATGAATATAAAAATTATGAAAATTAATGACCACATAAAATTGCTTAATTATGAATTATAATGAGAATATCATCATATCAACTAGCAGTGATAAAACGATTAATTTTTGGACTAAAAAAAATGGATGGGCCTGTTAATAAACAATCACAGATCATCAACATTGGGTTTATTAATTAAGTTTGAATGAGGAATAAAATAAAGTTATTTCATGTGGATGGGATCAATCAATATTAATAATTGAATTGATTAATATTTATTTTCGAGATCCATCAAAAATGAGTAAGTTTTTATGTATTGCTTAAAATGAAATAACTATTGGATAAAAAATTAGCCATAATTGTAATTTTAGTTTTCTAGCTAATCTTAATTTTTTAGTTATAAATTTTATGATTAAGAATATATCCAATAATCAAATTAAAGAAGCTTGGAGAAATTAGATATATTTGCAAAGCCTCATTAATAAATATCCAAGTAATTGATGCTTAAAATTAACTCAATTGTAAATAATATATCATGCTTAAGTCCTATTTTGTTAGGAATTATTAGTATGAAACCTTTTTTACTTATCATTTATATTATTTATGATTTTCTAATGTTATAATATGTTTTGATTTCACATAGTTTCTGATATAGTCTATAAATATTTTGGATATTGAATAATATCACATTTATGACTTTTAATTTTATCTCTATGTTAAGTTTGTACTTACCATTTGATGTATGGATAAATTTCTATTGTTTCATTTGAAATTCAAGCAATTAGTTGAATCTCCATCCTTTTGTTACGTTAAGTAATTTAGATATTAATCTTTTTGTTCCACCATAAATGCTTAGTTAATTTATGATTGCAAGCATCTTCATCAATGGCATTGAATCATCACATCTAGATATAAGATTCCCATTTACATTGCTTGTTGAAATATATTAGGAAAGCAATAGTTTAAAATTGAATTATTTTCGACTCTTTTCGCAGAATATGAAAATTTGAGAGATTTAGATCAATTTCAAATCAACAAAAGATTATTAATACTTATTTAAATAAAAATGTTTGAAATTATTTCAGTATGAAATCATTTTTATCTGTTAAATTAAGAAAACCCTTGAAATTAGTTTTGCTCTTTAGTCTTTCAATTATTCGAAATTAATATTTTAAGCAATAAAAAATTTGCAATATAAGAGTTATTTGGTATCGATTTGCAAATACTAAATAGAAAACATGTGTAAAGCAATTTTAGGTCTTTAGAATTAAAAGAATAATCTATTGACTAAAAACAAGCTCAGATTTTTAATAAATTATTTAATTGCTTTAGCTTTATGTAGCTATTTAAAGAGAGAAATGAA